CCGAAGTTCCTTGCACTTCTGGCAGTAAAAGAAGTCAGGGACATTTGTCTTCTTAATCTTAGCACAGGAGAGGTGGATCCATGTTCCACAGAGGCTACACTCAATCATGGGCCTCCCAGCAAAGGGCTTTCGGCAGTAACACGTGATCAGGTCCCATGAGTCATCACCTGGGGAAAAAATTGGTTTGGTATTGTGTAAGCTGTTGCATTGACAACTATTCCATACCCATCATCCCTGCTGTCCCTGGGCAGCCCCAAACTTCTCACCTGATTCTACCATGATGTCCTCATCCATGACCCGCATCTCGCCTTCACTGGAGCTGGCATCTCCATCTTGGCTTGTTTCAGTGCTGCCCACCTCCTTGCTTTCACTGTCAGTGGGAGGGGCTCCTTCAGGGTGCACTGTGACAGGGGGCCTAGGAGCCTCAGGGGGTGTTGACAGCACTGGGGCTGGGGCGTCACCCCCTACCATTGATACCATCTCTTCCTCCTCCTCCTCCTCCTCCTCTTCCTCCTCTTCAGAGTCTGTATCACTGGGAGGCGCCCGGGGAGGCCCAGGAGGTGGGAGTCTATCCCCCCGTTCTGCCTTTTTCAACTTCCGTTTCTTGCTCTTTTTGATTCGAGACCTCTTTTCCCCATCCCCAGGGGTTGGACGAGGCCTCCGAAGCACCCCAAAGCCAGCCCCCACTCCTGGCCCCAATTTTCGGTTCTTTCGGTCCTTCTTTCGAGGAGGCTGGGCAAGATCCCCCTGGGAAAGGGGCACTGGGGTGAGAGCAGCTGGGGGCCGGGAGGCATGTGTAAGGGATGAGGGGGACAGTGGAGATGCCATTTTGGGCCCATCTAGATCAAAGAGAGAGTCCTTGAGCTTCATCTTCTCAAGCAGGGTGGCACTGTCAGGGGCCTGCAGACGAGAGAAAGTGGACCTTGGGGGTCCTGCCTGGGTGGGACCTGCTTGAGCAGCCCGTCTCTTGGATGACTTTGCTTTCTTAACAAAGGTCTGGATAGTTCGGAGATCTGAGGGGGCCGAGTCCCAGCCATCACTGTCTGCTGCACTCTCACCTCGCAATGGAGAACTGGAGCCAGAAGCTGGCCAATCACTTTCCTTAAAAGGGAGACAAGACCAGGGTCAAAAGGGGGCCTAGTGTCATTTCATTCAGTTCCTCTACAAACCCAGCTTAAAGACTAGAGAATCCCTGGCTGGAGCGGCTCAATGCATTGAGTGATGGCCTGTGCACCAAAGGGTCACTGGTTTGATTCTGTCAGAGCATATGCCTGGGTTGTGGGCCAGGTCCCCAATAGGGGGTGTGTGAGAAGCAACCATACACTGATGTTTCCCTCTCTCCCTCCCTCCCTTACCCTCTCTCTAAAAATAAATTAATAAAAATCTTAAAAATTTATCCCACCCCAACTCCTACTAGCATTCCTTTTAAGCACCTCCCATGTTACATCTGCCTTTAAGTTCTAGTCATCTCTCCAATTCCCACTGCCTTTGCAACACTGTATCTCCCTAACAAAAGGTGTTTCTCTACAGCACAGGTGGCAAACATAAGGCCCACCACCTTGTTTTATCCCACCTTGTACCTTGTTTCTACCTGTGGCAACAGAGCTCTAGCTTAACTGTTAAAGAGTAGCTACATTTATACATTCCTAAAATTACATTCGAAGGCATTTGAAGACAACTGTGAGGCTGATGTGGCCTCTGGTGAAAATGAGTTTGACACCCCTATTCTACAGCCTCATTGGTTATCTCTTTCAGCTTCCTATAATTTACCCAGAGCACCTTCCATTAACAACTGCTCAAAATGATTCACTGCCGCTTAAGCCACCTATTTCTATTAATCCCACACCCACCCCAAATACTGGTGTTCCTACTAGGGTTTCTAATCACCCTAGTCTTACATATAATTTTTGGTAGGCTTCTATAAATAAATACAGTTCCATCTGTTCAAAGGACCCTCTATAGTCCTAGGCAACCACACTCAAGTCAATTAACCTCCTGTTCCTACCTCTTTGCTAGGGGGGATGTAACCAGCATAGGCCAATACAAAACTGCAGAACTTGTTGAAATCCTCAATTGTTCTCCGCCGTTTCTCTGGTGGCTGAAAAGGACGACACTTTTATTACATGCAATTTAAAGGGGGTCATTTCCAAATGCATAATCCCAGAAATGAGGAACCTGGAAAGCAGGAGGGAGAGCCAGAGGCTGGGGAGAAGAGGGTTGGACAATAATTCTAGGCTGCAAAGGTAAGGAGAACCTCACCTGAGTCTCTGGCTTAAGGGTCGGAGGTGGATCTGTGAAAGCAATAAAAGCTGAGTCAAGCACTAGTAAAGAGTCTGGGTAAAAACTCCACCTCTAAACCTTGTAGATCTCAAGTAAACCCCCCTGAGTTCTCCCACGTCCCTCAGGCTTGGCCAGCAAGACCCTGCGGCGCTGGGCCCGCCCCAGCTCCGGGCTCCAACCCTCGAGGGGCGGAGCCTAGGCGTAGCGCCCTCTCGAGTCCCGATATAACGCTCCCCTCCCCCCCCCACCGAAGGCCTAGCGCCCCGCCCCCCCACCGTTTCTCTAGACTTGTCTACTCCGATCTCTCAGCGCCCCACCCCGCCATACCGCTCCTGGGATCGGGCTGTTGCCTGCCCCTACCCTTCATAGGCGCCCAGTACCCCGAGTTCCTGCCGAGGCGCACTGAACCACCCTGGTCCCTCCAAGACCGCACTTGCCGCCCGCCGGCCCCCCGGGTCCAGGATGACAACGCTGAGCCGTTCCCCGCCCTCCGGCCCCTTCTACTCGAGCACGAGGCTCGGCGCGCCCCTCACCCCCACCTTAAACACACGCAGGCTCACACATCCAGCGCCACTTTGCGTCCGGGACAGACCAGAGAGCTCTAACCCGGACGCGGCCCCACCTGCCCCCACATAGCTCGGTCCCCACAATTTCACTGTCCCTCCGCCCCCATCCGGGGCTTTGGCCCCTCCCCGCCTCGAGCTTCTCAGGCTCCTCGCCGGGCCCCCGGACCCAGTTCCGAGCTCTCTCCGCCCCCCACCCTCGTCCCCATACTCACCACGAAGTCACCCCCACCCACGTCCCAGTACTCACCACCAAGTCACTAGGCTAAAGACCCCTTAAACTCTAGTCCCCCACCCAGCTACTCTCCCCCTCCACAGTAACCCTCCGCTGCTGCTGCCGCTGCCCCCTCTCCCTCCGCAACTCCCAAGCTTTAACCCTCTCCGACCAACTCCCCCACTCCACCTCTCAACCCGCGGGTCTTAATCCCCCCCCCACCGCCCCTAAACTACCCAGCTCTCCTCGCTTCCCGGCCGGCTCTCTCTCCCCACAACTAGCACCCGGTACAGGTCCCTTACCGCAGACAATACCCAGACTCCCTCTTCTCCCCACAACTATCTTCCCACTCCTCCCAACAATCACCGGGCCATCTCCAGCGGCAACTACCCGGAGCTCCGGCACCACCGCCACAAACTCCCCCACCTAGGCGAACTACCGGGCTCCTCACTCAGTCCTCTTCTGCCGTCTCCTTCCTCAACAACTCTCTGGCCCCCGGCTTTCCCCAACCACTCAGCTTCAGGGCCCCAGCCCGCCGGAGGCCCTTTCGGCCCCTAACCCCCGAAGCTCCGGATTTTCAGCTCCCACTCCCTACCTCTGCCCTCCCCCGCCCAGCATCTGATCTCCAACTATCCCCAGCTCAGTCTCCCACTCCTCTTTCTCCAAGGTCTCTCAACTCGTCGTTGCTCTCCTACCTCCAGGGGCAGGCCCCCGAACCCCTCCCCACGCTCCCTCCCTGGGCTCCGGGCATCGACCTCCAAGTTTGCCAATTGATTCCTTTACCGCCCCCTTCCAGCTCAGCGCTCGGTGCCGGTCGAGAGCTCGCTCACCTTCGGGACTGGGCTCCGCCATGGCTTCCAGCATCGCCCCCTCCCCTCCTCCCGGTCCGGCGTCCCCCTCCCCTGAGCCGGGGATCCCGGTGCCGCCTCTAGTGCTCGGTGTTCCTGCTGCCTCCGTCCGCAGAGATGTCTGCCTCGACCCGGTTGTGACTCGAGTCCGCTAGCCACTGCCGCCACCTCCCTCTACCACTGCCTCCCGCACTCCCGGACCGAACCCCCTCCCCCCGCGCCGCCGGCCGCCTGCTCCCTCCTCCTCTCCACTCCCTCCCTCCCTCTCCTCCCTTCGCGGGCGCCGACGCGCAATGCATCAAGGGGCTTGTAGTCCATCTGGGGACAACAGGAAGAGAACGGCATAAGCCTTGGGAACTTCAGTTCCCAGCAAGCCACGAATTAGCGCAAGCGCACTAAACCCTCCCCCCACCGGGAGTGGCGGGGACATTGGGAGCAGAGTAGAGAGGAAAAGCGCGCGAAGGCTCCTGGGAAATGTAGGCTGGGCAGGACTAAGAAAGATGTGGGGGGAGGGGATTACAACTCTCGGCCACCATACTGGCTCATTCTGCTGCTTTTCTCTCCTTCCCTCCCTCCCTCCCCAGAAGACCGACCTACTTCCGGCCCGACAGGGAAGTGGTTGCTGGGAGATGAAGTTCTCGTGGTGACGGTGGAGTCCCTCCTCCTAGCCTCCTCCCTACCTTGGATTCCATTACTACATGCCCCCCCAAAATCTGGCCAAGTGACATGCAACTGAAGATTAAGAACTTTTACCAGCTTCCACACATGAAAATGTTCTTCTTCATGCAAAAGGTTATAATGAATTGGGATGTATTTATCTAAAGCAGGTAGTTTCAAACTTTCTCCAAAGGAACCCACAGTAAAGAAGTTACTCTCTCTATCAGAACCCAGAACACATATCTACAACTTTAGTTTCAAGAATCAATACTCAGAGTATCCCATCCATCACAACAAAAGGACCCCTTTTGTGCACAAGGCAAAGCCCTACATCAACAGAATAAACCAAAACATATCACTACCCCTCCAACCTCATTTCTTCCCACCAAAGTACCAAAAACCAAAAGGGGGAGAGTAGCAACACAAAGCAAAATCCAGTTCACTTGGTCGTTTCCTCTTTATTGATGTGCCTCCTACCTTCTCCAACAATTTCAGGCCCTTCCATCTACCCCCCAAAAAAGGTAGTGAAAGGAAAAGATTGCTGGGGTCTGAGCCCCCTGGCAGTTAGAAAGGGAACAGAAACCAAAACAATCACTTGATGTGACAGAGATGGACAATCAAGTGTAGAGCAAAAAAGGATAAGGTGGTAAAGAAAGAGGAAGGAAGGAGAAAGGAGAGGTACTAGAAGCGATCTTCTCCATTGACCCTATTGCTAAGAGGTTCTGGAGAAGAGCCTCAAACATTAGGAAGTGCAGGTCCGAAAGAGAGGTCAAGAAGGGGGGGGGCCACCTCTCTTTGTAGAATGGGACCCCCCCACCACAGGCGCAGCAGCTTCACAGGCCATAGACACTTTCATCACTGTAGGCAATGTATAGAAAGAAGTCTTCTTCATGGTGTTCCTGGGGTGAAAGCAGAAAACAATGGTACTCAGGCATCTGGCCATTAGTTACTTGACCCACCCACTGCCCAAATATATTCTTCAAAAACCATTTTTTCGAAGAACCCCAAAACCAGAGCCCTCACTTGTTCCAGGACCTGTCAGCCTAACAGCATTCTCTAGGAACACCCCTAGACAAAAGTAAAAAATAAAAAAGACCTCCAATCCTTCTCTGTAGTCTTGGAATGACAAGGGAACTAGAATTGAGGAGAATCCATTTCAGAACATATGCTTCAGCTCGCTATTCTCCATTCAGTCTCCCACTACCCTGTCCAAAACCCCAACCCAGAACTACCTAAGAATTTTAAGGCCAAAGGAGAAATTGAGAGCTAAGCTAGCCAGCTGGTCCAAGAACTGCTGACCTAAAACTTTCTTCCACTCAAGTTCTTCCAACTCCCTCTCCAAAGTTTCCACTACTTCCCAGTCACCATACCTGGTATAGTTGACCCATCGTGGCACTGGTGGGTGGAATGACATTGTTGACAAAGAAAAACAAGGCATCCTCAGCTCGGAGATGAATTCGCTTCCGGATCAAGAAATAGAACTGACCAACTGCCAAAAATACAAAGTCTGATAAACTCACAAATATCACAAATGCCCGCAAAAGAACAGCTGCTATTTGGAGCCTCCTCCCACAGAGAGCAAACCTGGATATTGGGGTCAGGTCCCCACCTGTGAGATCAGAAGGCACCAGGTATTTCTTTTTGTCCAGGTCTCCTATCCGAGCTTTGGGAGCCTTTTCTACTATCACCTGATAAAGGAAAAATAAAAATTAGAAGACATTAGATATTACAGCCCCACAACTGTAATATCTAATTCCACCTGTCAGGAATTCAAGCAACAATATACCTAGCACCCAAACCTACTCCAAATTAATTTCTCTTTGTCTCTGAACATGCTGTGTAGCCTTGAGTAGACAGCCGGAGCCCACTGACTCGACTTACCTAAACCTCCCGGACCCTGACTAGGGGGGATCATAATAAACAACTATCTTAAACAGACGAGAATCACTTGTATAGCCCAAGTACAGCTTCAATCTCAAAATCTAGCCAGCTGGGAGGAATGACCATGTGACATTCAGACTGTCAAATCCTTATAGCCTCCAACTTGAATCCCAAGGCCTATCCCTCCCATCTACACCCCCCTCACCCGCAGCTACTACCACTATCCCCTTTCACCTCCAGTTCCAAAGACAACAGTTTCAGGATCGTCCCCAACCCCACCAAGGCCGACAGCCTGATGCCTGTGCTGCCCGCTCCAAACATAAGCCCAGGCTGTGGCGTCAGTGCCAGCGCCCCGCGCCCTCGGCCCTGGCTACCGTCCTCACCGGGACCCGGTCGGGATATTTCTTTCGGATCTTCTCGCCCTCAGAGCGGCGCTTCTCGAACGGATGCTCCTCTTTATACACGAACTTCATCCTCCCGGGAACCGGGCTGGACCGGACTGGACTGAGGGAACCAGGGGGGAGGGGGGGAGGCCGGGACAGGGGGCGGTGGCAGCGACGACGGTGGCGAAGGCGCAGGCGGATTCAGCGGAGGGATCTCAGCACTTGCGCCACTTCCCTATTCGCCAACCCCGCCCCCGCCCATCAAGGGCCGTCTTGCTTGGTAGTTACGCTACTGGCGTAGCAGCTCTAACGCTGCTAACTTTCCACCACCTACCGACACCTCCCCCCACCACCATCAGCGTAATCACTTTGGAATCTATTTGTGGGCTAAGCCGGCGACGTAGCAAGGGTAGTTGGTGTTTCTACCGTGGAAAATAATTGAAAACCCATTTCCTAACCTTCCCCCACAAAGGTAGGGATAAAAAGCAGCTAGGAGATAGTAATCATAACTTGAGATTCAGCTCGCCACAATTTCTTTTTGTACATAAGGTAAAGGAAAAGCTAAAATAATTACAAGGGCAGCTACTCACGAATAGCTGAATAACTATTACAAGGGCAGCTATCGGCCGTGCTGATAAGCTCAAGACGGCCGTTGACACCAAAACATAGTAGTACCCAAATGGAGAAGGTGGTTCGGAAATATAGGGCAGAAACTAAATACAAGTTTGGACAGACGCACAGAAAGCTTAGGTTTCAGTAGAGTGAACCAATAGGGATTGGCGGGTAGGTCCGAAAGGTGGGGACTACATCAACGCGGAGGAACACTTCCAGCACTTATAGCAACAGAATCATGTGATCTGAAAGGGCGGAGCATCACGTGGCGGCTGCTAAGGAAGTAGAGCCGGCTTCTGGGAGGAGGACCCTGAGGGGTGGAACCTGCAGCTGCAGGAGCGGGAGCTGGAGGCTAGCAACCCAGGAAGAGTAAGGCTGGGGGCACTGGGTGCCTGGCGGAATAGCCCGTTTAGCTTGTCTAGTCAGCCCCCCTAACTGGCTTCTTTCCAGCTGTATGCCTTTTCTAGCATCTAGGTTTCTCCTCCTTTCATATATCTGTGTCCTATGGCTCTGAAAACTTCAAGTTCCCTCAGGCCATACAGTTGTCCTTTCCCTCCCAGCCAGGATGCCCATCCTGTCAGAAACATCCAATGTGGTCATTCACTACTCCATCCTTGCAAAGCCATCACCACCTATCCCCCCTACCAAGAGCAGTCTCTCCCCTCAACTTCCCAAAACCCCAGAGAAGGACCTGGGGCAGCTTTGGTTTCAAAGTTATAATGAATGGTTTAAAAGAGAGAAGGGGGAAAAAAACAAACAGTAAACTGGTTACAGGTCTGAAGGAGTCTAGGAAAGGAAAATATAGAGAAAAGTAAGGGGGTACAAGTTTGGGTGAAATCCAGTGGCCCAAATCCCGGCTTCCCACCCACAACCCAGCCCTTGGAGTGAAGAATTAGATCAGTTTTGTACAAGAGTTTTTTTAAAAAATCAAATCACAACAAAGCTGACTTGGCTTCTCTCTGAGCCTCCCAGATTATTAAATGTCTGTCTCTCACTCTGGCCAGTCCTCTCTCTCCACCACAGACAGGGTTTCAGCTCTCCTAGTCCTCCGCTCATGACCCAATCTGGGGTTTCCAGGGAGTGCGAACACGAAGTTAGAGAGAGGCTGCTTCACAGTCTGGCCCATGTGTCCATCCAGACTCCATATGGAGTGCAGGGCTCCCAGGGCAGAGGGGCGGGAGGGGCAGACCCTGCCCAGGCAGTCCTCACCATTGGACAGAGCATCAGACAGGCATCCTGAGGCACGCCCTCCCTTTCCCCCCCACCCCAACTCAGGTGGAGGGGGAGCAGCTGTCACCAGAGCCTATGTTGGTGAAGGTTTCGGCTCAGCACAGAGCGAACATCAGCGGTGAACCTGGGATGACAATAACTTGCATTGGTAGAGTCCTTATAATTCATATCCCCGCACTAGTGTCAGGCAGCCTCACTGGAGACGTGGGGCAGTCACCATTTTCACATGATGCAACTGAGGTTTAGTTGGCCCAAAACCCAAGCCAAGCACTGAAAGTGATCAACTTTAGAATAAGACCTGGGTTCAAATGTTAAATGCTGAAGGGAAGAGAGATAAGTAAAACAGGACACACTGTTATTCCCTCTTAGGACTCCCCCACCACGTCCTTTCCTCTGAAATCTAAGTGTCCAGCTACCCTTACCTGAGGGCATCCAGCATGGGAAGCAGGTTAAGAAGGGCGGTGTCGCTGGGGTCACTGAACCAAGACTTGATGGGGATGGCATTGTCTAGATTGAGTGAAAAATGCGCATGAGAAGAAACAAAGAATTCAAGAGGGATGGTGTTTTTTCTTTTTTTAATTTAATTTTTTTAAATTTATTTACTTATTGTTCAAGTAGTTTTCTGTTTTTTACTCCCATCCCAGCCCACCCCCCCAGTGCTCCCCACCTCCCTCCCATTTCCACCCCCCTTAGTTGTTGTCCATGTGTCCTTTATACTAGTTCCTGTGGTGTTTTTTCTTTTATTTGGGAGTTGGGATCATTTACTTCACAGGGGTGAGCAAAAGTAGGTTTAGTTTGAGTAGCATTCTTTTGACTTAATAAAGCTATTGTAATAATCGTAACCCGCATGTCTTTTTTCATATGAACTACAAACCCACTTTTGCCTACCAATATGTTTCTCACCACCACTCACCCACCCAAGTCAAAATCTAAGCAAAAATTTTCCTGACTTACACTCCAAAATTAAATTAAATTTTAATCACCATTTCTTCATAGTGTGAAGCTTCTAGTCAAATAGTGCCATTGTATTTCACCTGAACTAAATCTGATTTATGAAACGGATATGTGGGGGAGGGGGGGAAACATCTCACTTAAAAGAGGAACAATACCATCCTGACTTACAGTAGAACAAGATACCCCAGTTCCATGCATTCAAGATACCTCAGAACCACTTCCTCGTACTGCCAGACTCACCACATTCCCCCATACCTGGATGGCTCCTGTAAGCCCCGGGGGAGTTATCCAGGATCACAATGCTGGAGAGGTCACTGTGGACCACAGAGAGGTCCTTGATGTAGCTGCCCAATTCCAAAGTGCAGTGCTGGAAGGCAGGGTGAGCTGGGTATCAAAAGGAGACTCTTCCTCTGATTGATCCCCCAATCCTAACTACACCATGGGCAGCCAAATTCCAACAAAGAAGATCACGCAATATGCCTCCCTCATGTCCCCAGAAGGTCCCATTCCAGGACAACTGCTTCAAATTCAAATCCCTCCCTGGTGGCCTGCCTCCAGAGCTTCAATCTTAGACCTAGATTCTAGCCCCTTACCTGTCTGTAGTATCTTCTCTTGAGAATGCTTCTGCTATTGTCCAGTTTATCTGCCACAGCAGAGCCATAAATCTCCATGCTTGCTGTGAACACTACCAGCTCATACCACTGGCTTACCTGAAGTAGACAGGGGAAGAAGGAGGTGACAGAAGAGTGATCATTCATTTATTTTATTGTTTTTAAAGATTTTATTTATTTTTTAGAGAGAAGAGAAGGGAGGGAGAAAGGGAGAGAAACACTGATGTGCAAAAAACATGCCCACAACCCAGGCATGTGACCTGACCAGGAATCAAACCAGTGACCTTTTGCTTTGTGGAGCGACACCCAACCCACTGAGCCACACCAGTCAGGGCTCATTTACACATACTGTTCCCTTTAACTAGAACTCTAGCCTTGTCATTCAGGACACTTAGCAATTATCAAATGTCTCTGAGGACACAAAAATTCTGAACTCAAGTGTCTTAGGTACCAAACACCCTTAAGATTCAGAGATGTAAGAACAAAAGAGCAGGAAGCCTGTGAAAGAATAGTTATACCAGCAAAGCAAATGAACCAAAACTACCAAAAGTCATTCTCCAACCATTCCACAACTTCCCTTCTCCAAAATTGCCCTTACCCATTTCTCCTCACCCCTTACTTCCTCCAAATCTTCTAAATTCCCAAAACCCTAAAACCATTCCTTCATCACAGAGCTTCCTTTGGCTTCTGCAAACTCACCACTTCTAAGAAGAAATCCACATGGGGCCTCTTATGTACAAAAAACCGGACAGGATGTTTGTCTATTACCACCTGTAGAGGAACAAGGAAGGGCTGGGGGAAGTCCTCAGCACCACCGTACCTAAATGATACCCCCCACCTTCCCACTGCTTGCTTCCCTTCTTCAGGCTGAGGCTGGTACCAAGGGATGGGGATGGGCATAACACATTCTGGGATTAGAAAAGGTCCAAGTACAGTAACAGACATAATGATTCCACCACCTTCCACCCCTACACACCTTGAGGATGAAGTCAGGAGGTGTTCCAGGTCGTACCGTGGGCCTCAGAACCCCATCATGATGGGAGTGAATAAGTGTCTCATCCAGATCCAGCACCAGAATCTTCCTCTTCACCTGGCCTGAACCACAACAGGAAGGAATAATACCAACCAACCTCCAGCCCAGACCTTGAAACCTACCTCACCTTAAAGGATCTCCCCAGCCAGCACACTTACCTAGCCGATTCCGGGACACAGGAGATAATGGAAGGATATCATATCGAACAGTCTGGTACTGAATCACCTGAGAACAAGACAGGATTAGAACACTTGCCAAGGAAATCTTCCACAGTAACAACAGGTAGCACGTGTTGAACATTTACCGTATGTTGGGCACCATGAAGTGATGATTTAGGATTATGTCATTTATTACTCAAAACAACAACAATAATAATAGTAATAATAATATCTCTGTTTTAAGAATAAAGAAACTGAAGCTTGGAGAGGATAAATACCTTGCCTAAGGTTACACAGGTAGTAATTATCTTATTTAGTTATTTGTCCCAATTAGAATAAAAGCACGGATTTTGTCTCCATCATGGCTGTATTCCTAGAACACTGTAGCAGGGGTGGTCAGTTAATATTAGAATCGATAAAATGGTGGAGCCAGGATTGTATCCTGCAGTCTAATGCAAGAACCTACTCTCTTAACCAATATATTATTTTGCTACACTGAACAAAGAAATGCACAGCTCTCCCCAACTCCAACCTGAGGATTCTTTGTGACAACTCCCATCAGCCTGAGATTCCTTAGTGGACACAGAATAGGAGTCAAGGGAGGTCCTTGGATCCCTAGGCAGAACAGAAGATGAGGGAATCCAGGGGTTGTCAGGTCAGCTAAGTTCCTCTGGCTAGGGGCCACCAGGCCTATCTATTTTAACCAGCCACCTGTCCATTTCTGTCTCTACTAGCCAAGTCACAAGTTGCAAAGAACCTCAGCCCTTTGAACAGCCTCCTTTCCTGGTACCTAGGGCAAGGCAGAGGACACCGGAAAAGCCCCACCCACCAAGCTGACTAATAGGGTGTGGAGATGGCCAGAGTGCAGTAAGGGCTGTGAGAGGTGAAGATGGACCAAGGACATCACGAACTCAGCCTTCCAGTTTCTCCAAAGACTCTTATTTCTAACACTCATATCTCTTCCATGCAAAGCCTGGCAATTCCCTCCTCTGCTCTTTTCTTCTAAGGCACAAACAAATGCTCTTCAGTCCATTCATAGGCCCTCAGCCTCACGAAAACTAGACTTCCCCTTGCAAACCAAAGAGCCCTCACCCCTCATCCCAAGGCATCTGCCCTTCTTCTCTTCCTGGGCCATGATGAGGGCAGCAATAGCTCGGGTATCCTGCCCTGCTATCTCGGGTTGCACATACTGGGCATGTAGGGACTGCTCCAAGCAACTGCCAGAAAGGGGGTGGGGGAAGAGACCAGATTGTATGGGAAGGGAAGACAAAAGGCTGTGGGGTCAGTGCCACTCAAAGGAAAGCAACTAGTCTCTGGGTGGCCAAAGACTGCTCCCTGCACCCAGAACAAAAACTGATGTGTTAGAGGAAGAAGGTAGGCTGCTTAGAGCAAGTCCAGGCAAAGAGGGATGGCAAGTAACATGTGAAGAAAACCCCAGGTGCTAGCTCTACACACATATCAACATCTCTGACCCCAAATTCTTCTTGGCTTCTAACTCTTGTCTCAGAGGTAACAGCCCTGCTTACAACCATGACTACCCAGAACAATTCTCACGCTAACTCAGGAAGTGGAAGGAGTAGAATGGTAAAAGAGACACTAAATGCAAGGCCAGGCCCATCCCCCCAAATCAGTAAGTCCACTAGCAGTACCACCCAGGGTTTTCTGGAAATTCCTTGACCTAAACAGCCCCTACCTGGTTTTATTCTCTCAGTTTTTACTAAGGTATGCCAAAGAGTACAGACCAGCGAAGCCCAGCTCACTTAATTCTCCCCAGTTATGATGAGAACACAAGAACCCATTCATTACACAATGTTAGCCTAAGGAGCTCTGAGTTTGGGAAAAAGCTACAGGGGAGGAAACCCAGAGATACTTGTATACGTGCACAGTTTCCACTGCCCACAGTATCCCTCACAATGCTAGGGGTCTCAGGGGTGACTTGCCCTGGGATTCTAGCCTGCAGCTGACAAACATGGTCTCCTGAATGAAACACTCTAACTTCAATGTGCTCCTTTCCACTACTAAAGAACCCCAAAATAGAAAAGTATCTTAGTCCCAGGATCTCAGTAAATCCAGACACTCACACTATGAAGTAAGTTTTCTGGGCCTTTCTGGAGGAGTTCCCTTCGTGCAAACCTGAGGGGTTTCTTCTTCAAACCCAGGGCTTTTCCTGGGTTTCCATTCTTGTTTGTCACATATGCCCTCCCACCCACCTCCACTCTTGACACATAAGCCTGTCTCTCCCTTGTTATATGACCAAACACACATGGAGTTTCCCTAATAACAGGAGGGTCTTTCACAAGCCGACATCAACAGATCTGCTGCCATCAAACAGGTGTTCCCTGCCTCTCGGTTTCTTCAGCAGCAACTCCAGCTTTCTTAAGAGCGCCCCACCCACCATCCTGGCCCCCAAGAGTTGCCAAATCCTGTCTTTAAGTTCCCCGATCTCCGTTCTTCTACAAGGGTCTCCCTTCTCCCCTTCCCACCACATACCTTGCTAAAGGTGCCCTAACTGTTTAAGGACACAAGCCACCGCCAGGACCAGAGGCCCGACACTTTCCGAAAACCCGTGAGCACCGCAGACAGAGGTCCCTACCAAGACCAGCGCCCACCCAGGCTCACCGTGCGGATCTGCCTCCGCAAAAGGTAAATGAAGAAGCTCCACAGCTTGGCGGCGAAGGCCACGAATGTGCGCAGCCCCAGCAGACACTGCGTCCGCATCATCCCGATGACCCCGGCACCGCCGGCCCCGGGGCCCCCGCGGCCCAGCTCCGCCAGCCCCCCGGGGGCAGCCCCCCGCCGCCGGGAGGGGGAACGGGGGCCCCGAATGGCAGGAGAGGCTGCAGAGAGGGGCACGGAGCGGGCGGCTCAGACAGCCACCCCTGGCGAGGGGAAAGCCCAGCGGAACCAGGAGCTAGGGGACAAGCGTGGGCAGCCCGCAGGGGCCCACATGGGCAGGGAGTGGCACCGACGGCTTCGCGGAGATTGCGGGCCCAGGTAGATCGGGATAGGACGGGGTCCTCCGAGACCAGAAGGGAAGGGGATGGAGAGTTGGGGGAGGGGGTAATGGGGGAGGGGGCTAGGGAGAAAGAAGGGGGAGGGGAAGGAGGAAGCGGAGGGTGGCCCGCTGCGCAGGCGCGCTAGGGGGCTGCCCGCGGAAAAGGGGCGGGCGGGGGCCGCGGCGCGCGATGGGCCGCGGTGGCGGCGTACGGGCAGGCTGAGTGGGGGAGTGGGGGAGGAGGGGGAGGGGGAGCCGAGAAGCGGGGATGGATGAACCGGAGCGGCCTCCCCCTCCCCAAGGTCAGGGATCCCTTAGCCGCTGGGAAGTGGGGCCGCAGTTTCTACAGCTGGATTTCCCACTCTGATAGGCGCCATTTTATCACCCAAAGGGCTCCCTCCTCCTTCCTTTCCCCCTCCTCTTCCCCTCTGACACTACTTCCGGTGGTGACGTGTATTCATTTCACCGGGAATTTGTTCGAGACTCGGTCTATGGGGGTGGGGATGAGGAAAGGAGAATGTACCCCCCCCCCCAGCAAGACCGCAATACCGCGCAGGCGCGGAAGGTGGCGATGGGGCGGGACCTGTAGCGATTGCAGGCCCTCCCTGGAATGGGGTGAATTGGGCAGTGATGTCAGTTGACCCGGAGTTCGAGCGGACTGATGGGCTCGTGCAGCGGTCCCCCATTTACAACTGCTCTTGCCGCCCTAGTCACTGTAAAAATGTGGAGAGGGACGTCGTCCGTACATCCGTACGTTTCTGAGCCAGGGCTTGGGATAGGGCCCCTCCACGTGAGCCGCCTTGGGAACATTGAATTTATGCACCTCCCATTGCTGACTGCCAGGTTTTAGTGGTGGGAGGAATCATGAATGCCCCGCCCCTTTCCCCTGGAGGGGTGGAGCAGCAGGCCGTGACGCCATCAAAGGGCGTCGGAGAAAGGCCTGGACGCAGGTTGAAGATGTTGGAGTCTGTGTTAGGTCTAGGCGGCTTGGTGCTGCTTCGGGGTGAGGGTCACAGGCCTGGGGGCTTTGGAGCCGGGCTTAAAGGGTGGAAGCGAAGAGGAAGGACCAAGGGTCACTGGCTAGGGGCGCGGTTGCAACGGGCTCATGAAGGTGGAAACCTCTGTTCTCATGCTGTTTATCCGTTTCTCACTCTTCCCCAGACTCTGTGGAGTGGGAGGGCCGCAGTTTGTTGAAGGCGCTAATCAAGAAATCTGCGCTGTGGTGAGTAACCCGCAGCGTCTTCCGGTCCTCCGCGGTACGGAAGCCTGGGCCCCCACTCTGACATTGTTCCTCATATGTGCCTCAGTGGAGAGGAGGTCCACATCCTGGGCTGTGAAGTGAGCGAGGAAGAGTTTCGTGAAGGTTTTGACTCCAGTATCAATAGCCAGTAAGTACAAATTGGAAGAATTAATTGGATGTGCGATCTCTATTGCTAAGGAATGTCCCTTACAGCAGCAAGCAAGAACCTGGTATGTAGTAGTAGTTACTTATTCATTGAGTAAATGGATATGGGCCTTTCAGGAAGCAAGAATTAGTAAGAGGAATGTGGAGTGGTGCGTATCTGGAGAATCCAAAGCAGAGATAATAGAGTGAGAGAGAAATTAGAGGGTAAAGGCCAACAGTACAGTTTAACACTGGAAGCTGTCCTGGAGAAGAAACATAAACATGTTCTGCCTCTGTGTTACTCAGAATCTAGTGAGTTTAATTCAGACATGGATTCCAGACTTGCATCATCGCTTAACTGCAAGCTCCTGAGGGACTTGTCCTACAGGCAGAGGGAACAGCATACGCAGAATTAGGGAGATAGGGGACGGCATACCTCTTAATGAAGGTGGAAGAGTTTCCTGAAATCAGATTTAAAAAAATAAACCTGATAGTGAAAGGTCCGAAAAAGAATTTAGATATTCGATTCCCAGTCAGGGCACATGCCTGGGTTGCAGGCCAGTTCCCAGCAGGGGACGCATGAGAGGCAACCATACGTTGATATTTCTCTCCCACTCTTTCTCCTTCCCGTCCCCTCTCTCGAAAAATAAATAAATAAAATATTTTTTAAAAAAAGAATTTAGATATTGTTAAGGTAGTGGGGAGTCATTTTGAAAATTTCGTAGGGGAGTAGTACCATCATTCCTGTTAGAAAGATTCAGTGACTGCATTGTTGAGAAGGGTTGACAGGGGTCTGGAGATAAGGACACCAGATGGGAAGTTGTTGCAGTAATCCAGGTTCACTTGGGTATGTACTGAGCACCAATTGTGAACCAGTGCTAAGCACTGGAGATACAGCCATGAATGAAACAGATACGATTCCTGTTCTAATGAGTCTTAGAAAATAATTGTAGGAGATGACAGAGGCCTGGCTTGAGGGAGTGGCAAAAGGGATGGGGAGTTTAGGACAAATGTAAGAGGGCTTTAGCAGGTGGACTTCCAGGACTTACAGATGTGGGGTAAAGGAAAGCATCCAGATCAGGAGGTCCATGAACCCACCTATGTTGCCTGGTTAAGAAGGATTACTTCCTGGTCAGGGTAGCTCTGTAGATTATAACAGTTTATATCTGTTTGTCCAACCTTAATTTTGAACCAGCCATTGTTATGTTCAGATGACATGCGCAAGGGAAGCAGAAGATAGAAAGGTGTGTAGGAACAAGTTCTGCCACCATGAAGCATTCCCAGGATTTTTAGCCCACACCAGTCTTTCCAGAATTGCTGTTTTATATATAGGTAGTACCACATAACTTAATTCTTGGTAGTACCACATAACTTAATTCTTGACCTTTGTTAAGCTGTTCTACACGCTGGACCATTTCTCATGTTCTTTCCTTTCTCTTTTTCCATTCAGAGAATGGTACACTTTAGGTGCCACTCAGGATATATTTGACAGTGATGGTAGCTGACCTATTTATCAAGTATTTAGTGTGTCTCAAGCACTGTGCTAAATGTCAAGAGTTTGTATCCCTCTTTTACAAATGAAGAAACTGAGTCTTAGGTTAAGAAATTTATCCATCAGGTGACCTTGGGCAATTAGCAAACTCAAGCTTGGAGCTCAGGACTGTCTAGTGCCAAAGTCTGTGCACTCATCGACTATATTCTACTTCTTAGTATCTTTCATTGGTATTCAAGAGATTAGTGAAAATTGAGAAGATTGAGCCACAGATACCAGAGAATGAATTTCAAGATTAAGGGTAAGTGACAGTATTATGTTGTCTTTTTTTTTTCCCCCCCTTGCAGGCTAGTTTACCATGACCTCTTCAGAGACCCTCTCAACTGGTCAAAGACTAGGGAAGCCCTTGCTGTGGGACCCCTGGGAGTCTTGAGAGCCATGTGCAGGAGGATAGGTCCTGGTCCTGTCACCATTGCTCTTGATTCACTTAGCTGGCTGCTGCTTCACCTTCCCTGCACCACACTCTGCCAGACGCTGCATGCTCTGAGCCATCAGGACTCCCGCCCTGGTGAGACTCCTCCTCCATTACTTCTCCTTATACATCTCCCCCTGCCAAGGAATGTGCCACTTTCCACCCTAAGACAAAACATACCTTTATACTAGTTCTTGACTTCTCTGTAATGCTACCCAGCAATCACTTTTTTTGTTTCCAAGTTTGTTTGCTCTTTTTTTTTAATCCTCACTTGAGGATAAGTTTCTTAATTTGAGAGAGACCTGAGAGGGAAACATCGATCAGCTGCCTCCCACCCCAATTGGGGATTGAACCTGCAACCCAGGCATGTGCTCTGACATGGAATGAAACCCACAACTCTTTTGGTGTACAGGATGACACTCCAATCATCTGAGCTGCCTGCTAGGGTTCCAAATTCTTTTTTAGTCTTCTATTTTATTCACTCATTCAGCAAACATTAATTTTATACAATGTGTCAGATGTAATTTTAGATAATGGGAAAATAAAGACTAACGATAGTCAGGTCCTTGTCTTCCAGGAGCTCAAAGTTTTATCAAGGATACAGACAAGTAAGCAAGCAATTACCAGATATTTTAATAAGAGCCATGATGATAAAGGAGCACGCAGACAACCTGAAGGAAGGAACTGTCTTAGAGCAAGAGATCAGCCCTGCAAATCTGGCCTGGCCCGTGACACTAGGACTAGCCTTGAAGTACAGGGTGGGGCAGAAAGTAGGTTTACTATTGTGAGTGCATGAAACAAGAGTTTATTCTTGTATTATTTGTTGTCTTACTTTCCATAGGAACAACTATAAACCTACTTTGACCCACCCTGCGTACTATGGGTATTAACAAACATGGGCTTTGGAGTCAGATACCTAGCTTTGTATTAAGGTATTTGATCTCTCTGCTTCAGTTTCCTTTGTAAAAGTGTGGAATTGCCACTTTTATAGTTCAGATACAGTCAGATGTCAGATATGAGCAACTTCACATGGTTCAGTCTACTAATACCTTTGAAGGATTGAAGTGTTACATTAAAGTGTTTAGTGCAGTGCCTGACACTCTAAATGCTGCCCCATCCAAAAAGGAAGGAATCAAAGGCACTGACTGGGATCTCAGCAAGTTCCAAAAACTGTAAGTTACTCAGTACGTAAGAGATAACAGGGACCAGATGATGAAAGTGTGAATTCATCCTGAAGGCCTGTGAATTGTAATCAGAGTGGTGCCTTAATCAGATTTACATTGGAATAAGAAAGTACATGAAAGGTGAGAACCGAAAGAGGCTCAGAGAAGGGCGTGAAACTGGGCAAAATATGTTGGGAGTGTGGCAGAGCTGTGATGGAATGGGGGCCTGCCTCTCCTTTTTTCCCTCTTCACTATTTGATCCCAGGTCTCAACTCTGAATGATGGTCCCTACTTCCCTTTCTGACCTATGTGTCTTGTCCCTCTGCAGGTGACAGCTCCCCAGTAGAACAGGTGCGTGTGCTGGGCCTGCTACATGGAGAGCTTCATGGTCCAGGCCCCATGGGAACATTGAGTGCCCTTGCTCAGACCGAGGTGACGCTGAGCGGTACCGGAAGCCAGGCCTCAGCTCACATTCTCTATAGGAGGCCCCAACAGCGTCCAACACATGAGGTTAGAAGCTCGGTAGGAGATTGGGGTCACAGAGGGGAACAGCAGTAACAAAACTGATGTGATGGAGCACTTTGTGCTTATATCATTTCATTATCTTCCCTCATTTAATCTTCACAGCTAACCTATGAGATAATTTTTCTTTTAAAGATTTTATTTTTAGAGAGGGGGAGAGATACAGCAATGTGTGGTTGCCTCTTGAGTGCCCCTTACTGGGCACCTGGCCTACAACCCAGGCATGTGCCCTGACTGGGAATCAAACCCAAACCCTTTGGTTCACAGGCTGGCACCCAATCCACTGAGCCACACCAGCCAGGGCCTGTGAAACTCAGATCCTGCGAGCTTAACCAATGAAAAATACTGCCTTCTAGGAGATGGAAAAGGAGAAAAGACTAGGACTGGTTACTAGGAGGGAGAAGGAACAAGTCCATATGGAACAGAGATGTTTGAAGGAGGGGTGAGAAGTGGAGAGCAAGAGCTGAAAGCAGCCATTTACATAGTTGATTAGGACCAGAGGTATTAGATGTATAGATCTCTCTGGTTTCTTCAGCAAGATGGAAAGAAAAACTTTACTACTCTCCTTTCTTCCCACCAGACTCATTGGTTCTCCATCCTGTCTGACTTCAGCCTGGATCTCCAGGGAGTGTCTCCCCTGAAGTCCCAGCCCCACCCAGATCCTCCTACACCCTTGGTATCTAAGTGCTGGGGCTGGAATGAGAGAATGGAGTTTGGGGTCTGGCGAGAATAAAAACACAGGTTGGGGGTGAAGTCAAAGATAACAGGAATGGGGCTCAGTGACAGCATCCTTTGTACCTACAGGTGGATCCCACTACTCACTTGACCTTTAACCTTCACCTGTCCAAGAAAGAGAAGGAAGCCAAAGATAGCCTGACCCTGCCCTTCCAGTTCAGCTCTGAAAAGTAAGATTGGGGCCTATGTACCTGGGTCCCTGAATTGAGCCCAGCATCTGGGCTTGAGAGGTGGGGCAACAACTAGTTATTGATTAACATATCAGACTTTATAGAGGTTGAAGTCCATCTCCAGAGCCAAGTCTGGGGAGTGGTTCTTTACCCACCTATAACCCAACAATGGCAAAGAGCCTTTGTCTCTTCTCTCCATTACAGCCTTGGGTCCCAGCTCCACAGTTGTCCCTAGAGCAATGTGGGTCTAGACTGAGCCAGACCAGACCCTCAGGAGATGTCCTGACCTCCAGGCAATGGTGCTAGGACAGGAAACTAGTTGGGGAGGGCAAAGGCAGGTTAGTAAGGGCTTAGGTGCTTGTTTTTAGGTGCCCAGTGTGTGGGTGGATGAAACAAGACTGGCAGGATCCTTGTCCTCAAGCTGCTAAGAATAAGAACTTAAAGAGTATTATTAGGGGAGCAGTGTAAGAGTATCTGTTCCAGTACCAAATGGTACTTCAGTAACAACTGAACCATGAGGTCAGAGAAAGGGACTTGGACAGAGAAAACATGGGGGACAAAGAGGGAGTCATAGTCACTAGGTACAGGGTATTCAGACAGGGCCTGTTACCCACCCTTCCCAACACCAATTCTTCTCTTATCTCCCAGACAGCAGGCTCTCCTGTGCCATGGTCTCGGCCAGGCTACCAGCCGAATCTTCTATGAACCAGATGCTTACGATGACATGGACGAAGAGGACCCAGATGACGACCTAGATATTTGACTGGCCATGAGATTTGATTAGACTGGGGTGGGTAGGGAAACCTTGGGCCCATAACCATCCTTCTATTGTTTGAGTTGGCCTTACCCTGTCCCATCTTTGTTTCCTCCATCTCTGGAGGCTCTTTCCTATGACTCATGAGCAGAGAGTAGCATCCAGTCAGGAGAAAAAGGATAGGAGTAGAGAGGAAGGTGAGCGACTAGGAAATCTGCCCCTTGGGCCTAATAAAGTTTTTTTTTGTTTTTAGTTCAACTAAAAAAAAGTGGCAGCTATTTACGCAAGAGTTGGGAGTGGAAGGGACTTGAGGATGGGGAGCCAGGCACCTAAGTGGGCCCAAATAATGAAACGGTGAAATAAGGGTGACCAGGCACATCATTGATACACAGTGTTTTGTTTTGTTTTGTTGTTTTGTTTTGTTTTAGCTGAACTAGGCATATTTTAGGTTCCAGACTCCCTGCAAGGATCTCAGTAGGAAGAAATAGGCCCTGAAGGGAGAAGAAAGAAGGCTACTCTCCAAAACATATTTTTTATTACTGTACAAAAAACACACCTACCCCTCTTTTGGTGTCCTTAACCCAGCCCCCAGGGAACTGTACATGGTGTGCAGGACTGCAGTGACCCTAAGGCATCTGCTGCACAGGCTGAGCTCTCTGCCCCAGGTCCTTTTCAAGTGTTTGGGCACACTCACAGGCTGCGAGGCTGGGGCAAGGGGCTCCCAGCTCACACGTACTCTTTGGCAGAGTTGGGCTTAGGGTAGGAGTGAGATGCACGGTACCCAGCTTTGCCCTCACTCCCAGGACAGGAGCAAGAGAGTAGTGCACCTCCCAAGAGAGTCAGAGCAGACCCTGCCCAGCCAATGAAGATGGCAGGACCAAACTCGTACCTGCGGAGAGAGGGGATTGGGGTCAGAAACCCTGGCTTGCCTCCCAACCCCAGACCTGTTCCTTTAGGAGACAGGAGTTCCGTACTTACTTAATATTTGTGGGGACCAAAGGGTTATAAAAGTCTGTGACAATCATATGACCATACCAGGAGCAAGCTGTCAATGCGGCAAGACCTAGAGGGGCAGGAGTATTAGATACTGTGAGACCCAAACCAGCACCTCGCCCACCCTCACTCTTAAAGAGTTCTTGAGGTCACCTTGGACCTGTGACTCACCTGCTACGATGAAAATGATGCCTCCTGTCATGGCTATACGGGCCTTCTTCACTTTGTCGTCTCCCCCACAACGTGTACACTTCATGCCTATTGTGGCCACAAACATGGCCAGGACGCCCAGCACTAGGGATACCACCATTAGGGCTCGAGTGGCCTGAATAGCCGCTGTGGGGAAGGGGGAAGGACCTTCACTGCTGGAAGTGCAGGCAGCCCTCCCTTGGCTCCAGCCTTCAGCTGTGTAACTGCCCAAGCTGCCTGTAGCGGGCCTGCAGTACACTCGGTGTCCACGTCCGGCCCGTTTGGGGTGGATCCCGACTCCGCGGCCTTCCAGCTCCGCCCCACCCTATCTCTGCTCTCGGACCCGCCCGGGGCGCCCAAGTTTCGATGAAACTGCCCCAGGTAGGGGGAAGGGTGAAAGGGGACAGCGGCGGAGCCTCCGCAGGGCCCACAAACAATGGCCCGAGTCCCAGTTCTGACCCCACTATGGAGGCCACGGGGTTTGTGGCTTCGTCTAATCGGCGGATAAGATTAGAGACCGCAGGCATCTACCCACAACTGACAAGAGCGCACACCTTCTCCGCCGCCGGATCCCATGGCCTTATACCCAAGCCACCCTTTGTCCAAAAGAAAAGATCGGGAGTGGGTGAGGCCACTGCCAGTTTAGGGCTGTAGGGAAGAACAGGCCCAGGACCCGGCCACCCCCTGAGGAGCTGGGCTCGGAAGAAGGATGCAGCGGGCTGGGTGCGGGCCCGCGTGTAGCCGCTGAAACCCCAACATCTTCACTGCCCTGTCCTGACTGTTTCCGCTCCCTCCTCTCCCCTTAGCCTCCAGGGCAACACCAGGTGTCGGGCCACTGGGCCCGGGCTCTGCCCAGCAACCGCCCGTTGACCTCGGCCCTCTAGGCGCGTCCGCCCCGTCGGTCTCACGGTCTTACCCGACAAGGCGAGCACCGAGTCGTACATTTTGCAGCTCATCACTCCCGTGCTCTGCGTGACGCAGTCCATCCACAGCCCCTTGTACATGGCCTGGGCTGTGATGATGTTGTCGCCCGCGTACGAACTCATCTGCCACTGCGGAATGGCAGTGCTCGCCACCAGGCCCACCCAGCCCAGCAGGGCCATGGAAAAGCCCAGCAGCTGCAGGCCCGAATTGGCCATTCCGCCTCAGAAGAGACTGGGGGCGCCGGGCTGGCCCCTCTGCAGTAAAGCAAACAAACTGAGGGGCAACCCCACAAGACAACTTGGGGTAGAGTTGTAAACTGCCCAAAGAGCAAAAAAATTTTTTGCCAAGTGACTGCAAATTTCTTACCACCCGAAGTAAACACGAATTGCCCCTCCGGCCTGGCGAGGGTCTCACAGCAGAGGGAGCAGACTACGTCGGGAGGACTAGTAGCCTACAAAGGCGACTCTCAAAGGCCAGGCCGTTCCCTCCGGCACTCTCGGAGACGCTACCCAAACAAAAGGTGAGGGGCCTTGTGGGCGGTCCTGGGAGCTGGAATTCCCCAAAGTACCCTCTGCTGTCCGCCCCGAGGTTAAGGTGCAAATAAGCAGCCGCGAGCGGGCAGATGAGGGCAGACAGGTGCGGCGCACCTGAGTATATGTAGGGCGTTGGTGGCGCGCCCCTGCCGGCACTGGGAACTCGAGGGGGAGCGGAACAGGAGGGGCGGCCAAGGGTGACCTGACGTCACCGAAGGGACACTCACCTGGGCCGGAAGTCCTGGCCCCAGGTGTAGAGGAAGAAACCTGAGCACCAGGGTCACGCCCCTTCACTTGCCCGTCTGTGACCGCAGGTGGGGAGAAGGCGGAGTTTTCTCAGAAGTCAGCCCCTCTGGACCGGACTTCGCTTGGGCACCAGGATACATACCCCTTCCCTTCTCCCCAACAGGGGTACCAGGGACACTGGGGAGCCAGAGCGCGGGGGACGCCCCTGGCCAGCCTTTGCGCCGCCCTTCTCCCCCCACCTCCCGCAGGGACTCTTAGCTTCAACTCTAGGTGCTCTTTGTCCTGCCCTACTTTACCTCCACCCCCACCAAGAAGGTGGGGGTGGAGGTACTTCCTCTACTCCTTTTTCTTGTCTCCTAGCCTAGCCGACTCCACCTTCAGGGACCCTGGCTCCAATTCCTTGGAATCTTACTTAGGCAGCGGAGTAGGAGTTGCCGCCGGGGTCCCCCCCGCTGCGGCGCACCCTCCCGGTCCCCTGTCGGTCGCCTTTCTACCCTGCCCTCCAACAGACACCCAGCTTTCAGACAAGACTTCCCACCTTCTTGCTCTCCTCCATTCAAATCCCTGACATGACTTAATGCCTGGGCCCTTAGCACCCCACCTCCCAGGTCACTATCCCCTCCCGCAAGGGTCCTTGTAACATAACCGAAGGAGGAAACCACTGAGACCAGAAGTCAGCAGAGGATGGGGAGCAGGGTAAGGCTTCCATTACAGCCTTGGCCACACCCGTCACTCACTCCCTTGGAGTCTTTTGAAACTCGTTCACCTTTCCCTCTTCTCACCTCCCTGCCCCCGGCTATGCACACATTTCTCTCTCATTCTGAGCTTGAACTTATTTCTATTTGGGTTCGTTCTCCCATCCCGTGCCCTCCCTAATATCTGGCTCTAAAGTGACTTGATTCAGCGCTCAGACTCTCGCCTCTTCCTCCAGTTTTGTTTTGTTTTGTTTTGTTTTGTTTTTCACTCTCTCCAAACCATTGCCCCATCCTTCCTCTGGATGTCTCTTCCCAGCGTCCCCCATTCACTCATTCCTCCCTCATCATTTATCATCTCCCCTTTCCTGCCTTTCCACTTCCTGTTCCACTTCCCTCTTTTACTTTACCTGTATTCCCTTCCTATCTCCAGCCCCTTAGACCAGCACCGCCAGTGAGCTTCTCTTCATCTTCCTGCCCAGTTTCTTCCCAATCTTCCTGTCCTCCCACCTTGTCACACACCCAGACTCGCACACATTTCTTATTGTCTCATTTTATTTTTCTCTCTCCTTCCCTCCCCCCAACTGTCTTGCATTTCCCATTTTTGTCCCTTCCTCTCAAACCTTTCTCTGCAGAACTTTCCTTCTTGAATTCAATAAACATATTAAAGGGCCCCTCATACTAAGCTAAGTAACCCCTTTTTTCTGTAAAATGCAGATTTTAATGAACTCTTTTATTCATTTTTTCCTACTTTTTGGTTAATGGTGTTTTTCAGAGGTGCTTTCCAGCTCTGAAATTCCATGTTCTTCATTACTTAAGTATATTTAACTTCTCTTAAATGAGATCAGGTGCATTCAGGGTGTTATGGCCATAGACTATTTAACTTCTCTTCAAGCTCACTGCCATCACCTCTTGCCTGGACACTGTAACTGCCTCCAAAGCAATCCCCCTGTTTCCCTTCTTGTCTTCCTAAAATCTAGTCTCTGGAAGTGACTTTTTTCCTTTTTTTTTTTATTTTAAAAAAGATTTATTTATTTTAAAAATATTTTATTTATTCATTTTTAGACAGGGGGACGGGAAGGAGAGAGGGAGAGAAACATCAGTGTGTGGTTGCCTTTTGTTTGCCCCCCACCGGGGACCTGGCCCACAACCCAAGTACCTACCCTGACCAGGAATCTAACTGGTGACCCTTTGGTTCACAGGCCAGTGCTCAATCCACTGAGTTACACCAGCGAAGACATGACTTTTCTTTAAAAAAAAAAAAAAAACTTAGATCTTGTCACTTCCTGTTGAAAATCTTTAATATCTCCCAGTGGCAGTCTTTTGTTCCTATTGCTCTACTAGATTTGGCAAATGCCATACCATGCCTTACCAGACTCTGCTTCAGCCAAACTGGTATCTCTCTGTTCTTGAAACAGACTTCCTGCCAAAGTGCCTTTGCACACCCTGTTCTCTATGCCTAGATGTTCTCCATTTACCCCCACCCACCTTCCTCTACCCAGCTAGCCAACTAATTCTTCAACAGTCAGCTCAAGAATGACTTCTCCTAGGAAGCCTGGCCTGACTACCCACCCTGAATTGAGTCAGATCACCTGCCGAATGCTCTGACCGCTACTTACACTTTGCTTTCAAAGCTCTTATCATAGTGTGAAACTATTTACTTTGTGTGGTTATTTATTCAATGTCAGTCTCCCACTGTACTAAGTTCCAAGAGGGCAGAGATGTGTCTGGGTTTATCACCAATAAATATTTGATGAATAAATGAATATTGAAAACTAACAATATTTTCATCCACTTGTTCAACCAGTATTTTCTGAGTGTCTATATAATGTGCCAGGCACCTGTACACTGAGGATACAGCTGTAAACAAGACACTGTACTCATGTAACTTAGATTCTAGGGAGAGGAAGCAGACCATAAAGACATAAACAAGCCCTGGTTGGTGTGGTTCAGTGGACTGAGCACCGATCTGCAAACCAAAAGGTCGCTGATTCAATTCCCAGTCAGGGCACATGTCTAGCCTGGGGCCAGGTCCCCAGCTGGGGTTATTCAAGAAGCAATCAATTGTTCTATCTCTCACACATTGGTGTTTCTCTCCCTCTCTCTAAAAATAAATAAATACTAAAAAAAAAGACACATAAACAAAATGGCACATGTTTTGAAGGCAATAAAACAGGTTAATTTGATATGTTTGGATCCACTCCAGAGTGAGGTCAGGAAGACCTTTCTAGGTAGGGCAGATAATGAGCCAGCCGTGAAAGAACCATGTTAGAGACAGAAAAAGCAGCAAGTTCTAAGACCCTGTGTTGGTTGCCCCTTTAAGACTTGTATTTTTTTTTATTTTTAAAGATTTTATTTATTTTTATTTTTAGACAGAGAGGAAGGGAGGGAGAAAGAGAGACAGAAACACCAATGTGTGGTTGCATCTCAGGTGGCCCCCACTGGGGACCTGGCCCGAAACCCAGGCATGTTCCCTGACTGGGAATCGAACCAGTGACCCTTTGGTTCACAGCCCATGCTCGATAAGACTTGTATTAATTTAAAGCAGGATTGCTAAACTTCACACTACTGACATTTGGAGCCAGATAATTCTTTGATGTGGGTGACAGTCCTGCGCATTATAGGATATTTAGCATCCTTAACTTTTACTGGTCAGATGCCAGTAGAATCTTCCCTTGAACCCCAGTGTGACAATAAAAATATGAGTGCAAGGGGCAAGTAGTTTAATGATTAGAATTAACCAAGGTTGATAGCTAAAAAAGAGAGAGAAGGGTCTTTAAGGTATTTGCAAGAGAGTGTTTTCTGTGTTAGATCATTGATATATAGGGTAAGAAGGAGAGTAAGCATAAAAAAGGATTAGTAGATGGTAAACAACTAACAGGGTCAATGGTTTAAAAGTGAAAGGAGTACATGAGTAGAGACATGAGTAAATGAGCTGAAAGGCTAGGAGGTCATCATTAGAAGTGGGAGGCTCGAGTTCAATAAAATGAAGGAGGTTGTTTTTGGAGATGACAAAGCCTGGGGATGGGCTACAGAGAAAAATCATTGGAGATGAGACTGGAGACTGGAGGCTACAATGAAATGGAGTACCCTGATGGATTTTTAAGTCAACAGCAATAATGACAGGAACATATGTGTAAAGAGGAAGATGGTGAGCCAAATGCTAAAGTTATCAGTGAATATAAGTGAATGAGCAGGCTGAAAGACCCTAGCAACAATTAAAGGTAGTGAATTTACACTACCTTTGGAGCAGACAATATTGAAGGATGAAGGAAAAATAATGGTTTATATAAAAGCAGGATCAGCCCTGGCTGGTGTAGCTCAGTGGATTGAGCGCGGGCCTGCGAACCAGACAATCGCGGTTCGATTCCCAGTCAGGGCACATACTGGGGTTGCAGGCCGGTTCCCTGCAAGCCAGTTCCCAGCAGAGGATGCATGAAAGGCAACCATACATTGATGTTTCTCTCCCTCTCTCCTTCCCTTCCCCTCTGAAGATAGATAAATAAAATCTTTAAAAAAAAAAAAGGTCTAATGTTAAAAGCAGCATCATGGAGCAATATTTCTAGCTCCAGACCCTAAAGTTTAAGAAATAAGACCAAAAATAAACCTCTGCTAAGAGGACTGCCAGGGATGTGTGTTCTGCAAGACAGCCAGTTTTCCCAGACAAGCTGGGAATATAAGGATAATCATAGACGAGTCAAAAAGTCACAGAGGAAGGGTTTGAAAGATCAAGTGTGGTAAGGGGATTGGGTCAGAATAGGGGACATACACCACAGCATGGGGATGACAGGTGACAGGATGAGGTAAGCAGCCTGGTATGGAAACCCAACCAACTTGTTCATTTCCATAGGAAAGTGTGTTCTGAGTTCTGAAAAAGTAACAAATGAGTGAACTTTGGAAACTTGGCAATATTATTTTAATATTATGCATTATTAATCAAAAACTAATTATTATACCGATCACTGATTATTATTTTACTGGTTAAGCCAAGAAGTGATAGTCTCATGGCAGATAAAACATTACAAATTCTAATTCTACCTCACTTATTTTTTAAAATTTTTTATTTATTGATATTTTTTTTGAGAGGGAGAAAATTATTGACTTGTTCCTCTCACCCATACATTCACTGATGATTCCCATATGTGCCCAACCCAGGATGGAACCCACAACCCTGGGATATCAGGATGATGCTCCAACCAGGTGAGCTACCTGGCCAGGGCTAATTTCACCTCATATTCTTGAACCTCAACTGTCTTATCTATAAAAGAGGAATGGAGATATTTTGCCTGCTTAGGAAACAGGAGTCCAGGCCAAATTACCTCCTGTGGTTCTTCCCGGAGTGCATTTCTGAGATACAGTTGTAGAGAAGGAGTGACAAAGTGACCAGCTCATTTTATGAGGCCAGAATAATCTTACCTCTGAAATCACCTAAAGATACTGTGAGAGAAGTATTAAAGGCCTATTTTATCTGTAACTATAGACACAAAAATCCTTAATCAAATATTACTTAATCAGATGTCAAAGTGTATTTGAAGGCAATACATTATAAACAAGGGCAATGTATCCCCCACTGGGGACCTGGCCCACAACCCAGGCATGTGCCCCAACTGGGAATCGAACCAGCAATCTTTCAAATTGCAGCCCATGCTCAATTGACTGAGCTACACCAGCCAGGGCAGGAAATTCTTATACTTAAGAAATTTTAGACTCAACTCTTTTATGAGGGGGTAAAGGACAAAGATGTTCACTGTTGCCCCTTTTGTTTGACAAAGTCCTGAAGGTCGTGATCAATACTACAAGGAAATAAAATAAATAAGTAGTGCAAAGATTGAAAGGAACAGCATAAAACTGATTTACAGATGATTTAATCATCTATTCGGAAAAGTGAACGGAATCAGCAAGGATGTTCAGCAAGGTAGCTGTACCCAAGATCAACCTACAAAAAAAATAATTAGTATTTTACTACACCAGTAATAACAAGTTAGAAAATATAATCAAAAGTAGTATTCAATTTGCATCCGTGACAAAATCATAGAGAAGCTAGGAATTAGCCAAGTATTCATAAGACCTCAGTGTAAATTTTTTTTCTAATAAACAGCATAGAAGATGGACTGAATAAATAAATAGTTCATTACAAAGATATTACAATTTCTCCCAGAGAAATTTATAATTTGATATATTACCAATTAAAAAAAGATTTTGAATCCTGATTGGTGTGACAGTTGGTTGGGTGTTGTATCTCAAAGCAAAAAGTCAAGGGTTCAATTCCCAGTCAAGGCACATACCTGGGTTGCAGGTTCATCACAGGTAGGTTGAGAGTGTAGAAGCAACTTATTGATGTTTCTCTCCCTCCTTTCCTCTCTTCCTCTCTCCCTCTCTCTCTAAAAATAAAAAATAAAAAATAAATAAAATATTTTTTTAAAAAAGATCTTGATAAGTTTACCCACAAAACACATTTTTGCAATAAAAGACCACAAATGGTAAGTTGACATTGAAAAGAAAGAGTAACAAGAGAAGTCTTGCCCTTCCAGAAATTTAAACCTGCTACAAAACATTGTGAAAAACAGAAACTTGTATTACAGTATTAGCTGTAATTGTCATGACAATACAGCCCTGGCTGGTGTGGCTCAGTGGACTGAGTGCTATCCTGCTAACCGAAAAGTCATGAGTTCGATTCGTCAGTTGAAGCACATGCCTGGGTCGCGGGCCAGGTCCCAGGTTGGGGGTGTATGAGAGGCAACCGATGTTTCTCTCCTTCTATTTATCTCTCCCTTCTCTCCTCTCTAAAAAAAAAAAAAAAGTAAATAAATCAAATTAAATAACAGTGCAGTGTTAATATAAGAACAGAGATATATACCAGTGAAACAAAATGAGCTCAGAGACAGATACTTTTATATATCAGATTTTGATAAAGGTAATAAATTTATCAAAAATTTACCACATTTGATAAATGTGGTAAATGTAGCTTAGTAAGAGAAAAATTAATTGGGTCCCTAACGCCCAAAACAAAAATGTACTCCAGATGAATTAAAAAGACCTAAATATGCCCTGGCCAAGTGGTTCAGTTGGTTGAGTGTTGCTAGTACATCAAAAGGTCACAGGTTTGATTCCCCATCAGAGCACATACCTAAGTTGTGGATTTGATCCCCAGTTGGGGTGTGTATGGGGGGCAGCCAGTCAATGTTCCCCTCTCTCTCAAATCAATAAAACACATCAAAAGTAAATAAATGATAAAATGACCTAGACGTGATAAGTAAAACTATAAAGTTATTGAAAGAAAATATTTTTTTAAATCTTTGTTGTGCAAAGATGGAAAAGAACATATGGAAACTTTCGAAATCATTAACCATAAAGGGAAAAAAATGTCATTTTGATTACACCAAAAATAGGGTGTATATTCAATGGAGTTCATCAAGGAAAATTTAATAGGCAGATGATAAAATGAGAGAAAATATTTGCAACGTTTGAATCTGACGAAGAACTGATATGATTTTTTTAATGTTGCAATCAACAAGAAAAATACTCCAAGAGAAAACAGGCAGAGACTGTAAGGAGAAAATTTAAAAAGAAAGCCAAAGTATTCACAAGTATTTAAAGGAATGCTTCAAGCCACGACTAATCAGAACTTCAGTAAGATATGATCTTTCACTTATTGAACTGACGAATATTAGAAATCCAGACCAATTCTCGTGTATTTGATTAAAACCTGACATAGTCCACTCTGGAGCTTAAAAGACTGACCAACTTGAAATATTGACTTTTGTGACAACATAAATAGATCTTGAGAGTATCACACTAAAGGAAATAGCCAGGTGGAAAAGGACAAGAACCATATGATTTCACTCATATGTGAAACATGAAACAAAAAGCAATGAGTGAAAACACACATAAATTCATAAATGCAGACAAGAGAATGATGGTTACCAGAGGGCAATTGAAGGAGGACTGAGGGGAAAGGGTCAGCTATATGGCGACAGAGGCTACCGGACTTTGGGTGGTGGGCACACAATGGAGCACACGCATGTTGTATTATCATAAAGTTGTCCTCCTGGTATTTATATAATATTATTACCCAATGTTACCCCAATAAATGCAATTAATTTTTTAATTAAAAAAAGACCAACCATTTCACGTGTCGGTGAGGGTGTAGAGGAATTAGAACTCTCATACTAATGGTAGTGTAAAATCCTACAGCCACTTTGGAAAACAGCTTGGCACTTTCATAAAAAGTAACAGACACCTGTCACACTATCCAGCCATCCTACTCCTCAGTGTTTTCCAAGAGAAACGAAAGCACATGTCCATACAAAGACACTTGTGCATGAATGTTCCCAACAGCTTTATTTGTAATAGCCTAACATTGGAAATAACCCAAATGTCCATGAACAGGTGAGTGGATAATCAGACTAATTACTATTGACAATCAAATCAATAATATTCAACAATACAAAGGAATGAATTATTGATACGTGGAACAACATAGATGAATCTCAAAATAATTGATAAGTGAAAGAAGCTTGACAAAAGGGTACATTCTATTCATTTACATAAAGTCCTAAAAAATTCAAACTAGTCCATAATAACAAAGCAGATTAGTGGTTACCTAAGGGGTGGAGAAAGGGCTAAAGGAAAGGATTACAAAGAGGTACAAGAAGACTTTGGGAAAGGATGAATATGTTCATTATTTTGATTATTCAGACAGTTTCATGGGTGTATACACATGCCAAAACTTAAATTGTAGCCCTGGCTGGGTAGCTCAGTTGGTTAAACCATCTTCCCAATGATAGTTAAACCATCACACCAAGGTTGTGAGTTCAATCCACAGTCAGGACACATACAAGAATCAACTAAGGAATGCATAAGTAAGCAGAACAACAAATCGGTGTTTCTCTCTCTCTTTTTAAAATTAATTTTAAAAGTTTAAATTAAATCGTACACTTAAAATACATGCAGCTTATTTTTTGTCAATTATGCCTCAATAAAGCTCTTTTAAAAAACAGAAACAAATAACCTCATTCGGCCCTAGCCAATGTGGCTCGGTTGGTTGGGCATTGTCCTGCGAACGGAAAGGCCAATGGTTTGATTCGCAGTCAGGGTACATGCCTGGGTTGTGAGTTTGAACTCCAGCTGAGGGGCATACAAGAGGCAACCTGATTGATGTTTTTATCACACATTGATGATTCTCTCCCTCTCTTTCTCCCTCCCTTCCCCTCTCTCTAGAATCATTAAAAGAAAAAAATATTTTTAAAACCTCATTCAATTTAATCTATTCTAAGTACTATATAGTACATTATTTGCTTTCATTAAAACCCTAAAATGTAGATACTATTATTATCTCCCATCTCATTTTACAGATGAGGTAAATAAGGCCCAAAGAGCTTAGGTAACTTTCCCAGTGGCACAAAGCTAGCTAAACATCAGAGTGGGGACTCAAACTCAGGCTGGTTGGGACCAGAGTTTATACTCTTCTTCATTCAGTTCCTACTTGAGGATATGTTCACTTGAGTGATTTTGGAGAGAGAAAAAGAGAAAGGGAGAGAGAGAGAGAAGGAGAGAGGGGAGCATCAGTGTGAGAGAGAAACCTCGATCAGTTGCCTTGCACACATGCCCGACCAAGGATCTAACCTGAAACCCAGGTATGTGCCCTGACTGAGAACTGAATTTGCAGTCTTCTGGTGCATGGGACACTGCTCCAACCAACTGAGCAACTCAGCCGGAGCAGAGTCCATACTCCTAACTATTATGCCTCTGGGTGGATAGTGACTGAGAGGGTGTGGTGGTAACAGAACACTTCCACATTGCTGATGGAAGTGGAGATTGGAACAGTCATTCTTAACAGCAAGCTGGTAGCACTTAGTCATACTAGACATAAGTATACCCTATGACTCAGCAATTCCATTTGTGGAGAGAGAGATAAATAAAGATATAGATACAGGCAAAGGCAGAGATATTTCTCCAAAAGAAGTTCTCATAGGAGTTCATAATAAACTTTGTATGGAAATGTTCATTGTCACATCCTTTTGTTGTGGTTGGGAGCTAAAGTGACAAGGGTGCTCATCAAAAGGATTATAAAATGTGGTGTGACTGATACTGTGGAGTACTATGCAACAATAAATTTGATAATCACAGAGCATGAGTGAGTTTTTAAAACAGTGCTTTTCAAAATAAGCAAGGTCTTTTCCTGGCCGTGTGGCTGATTTGGTTGAAGTGTCGTCCAATAACCAAAGGATTGTGAGTTCATTTCTCAGTTGGAGCATATACCTAGATTGCAGGTTTATCCCAAGTCGGGGCACATGGGGAATATGATGTGATATTTCTCTATCACATCAATGTTCCTCTTTCTCCCTTCCTCTCTCTCTTAAAGCAATGAGAAAATGTCCTCTAGTGAGGATTAAAAAGAAAAGGAAAGAAGTAAGATCAGAATGAAAGAAATAGCCCTGGTCAGGTGGTTCAGTTGGTTGGAGCATCAACCCAATGTGCCAGCGTTGTGGGTTCGATCCCAGCTCAGGGCACATACAAGAATCATCCAATGAATTAATAAATAAGTGGAAGAACAAATCTCTCTCTCTCTCTCTTCCTCACTCTCTCTCTAAAATCAATCAATAAAAACAAATTTAAAAAGGATTTTGAAAAAGAACAAAAGAGTCCTGACTAGTGTAGCTCAGTGGATTGAGCATGGGTTGTGAACCAAAGGGTCATCAGTTTGATTCCCAGTCGGGGCACATGCCTGGGTTGCGGGCCAGGTCCCCAGTGGGGGCCACATAAGAGGCAACCATGCATTGATGTTTCTCTCCTTCTCTTTCTCCCTCCCTCTTCTCTCCCTAAAATAAATAAATACAATCTTTTAAAAATAAATTAAAGAAAAAGATATAACAAGATGCTATTTATATGAATTTAAAACACACACAAAACAATTTGTAGTTTACAGGAGCACAAACAAAAAATGAGCATTAAAGCCATTGCAAGGGTTGCCTTTGAAAGGGGACAAACAAGAAATGGATATGTAAGTAGAAGGGAATAGTTTTAAACATAAAACTAAAATAAGGCATAGGTCAATGAAGAAAATGTACCAACAACTCTGTTGTGCATTCAATCCTCCACACCTGAGACCCTAATATATAGAGAAAATGCAGTGCAAGAACAAAGGGAGGAGATAGCATTACTGAAGTTCAGGAGTCCAGGTTCCCCTCCAGAACCTGGAAGCAAAGTGGGCCTGTACGGTAGTAGCTGGGGGCAGAATGGGGGGTGTCCTGTGAAGGAATATGCTGGCATTCTCCTGCCTGCCAATCTCCTTACCAAACCATGGGCTGAACCCCACCAGAAAGCAGTGAACGTAGGAGCTTGGATAACAAAAGCCTGCAGGATTTAGCT